TTATCTGAAATATTATTACATGTAATATTATTATATTATTGATACATTATTGAAACTAAAATTACCGTGCCGATGAGAAAAAGCATTTTCAGTAGAATATTTTTTTTTGGAATAAAGCTATTCCTTATTCTTTACTGCAAGATAAAGCAAGATAAAAAAGCTATTCTTTACTGCAAGATAAAATATATTTTTCGCGTTCGGCAATTCATTACCAATATCGCGATTTCGCGGTCTCTATGAGCATATCTTATTTGGCAATGCTGTGACAAAAAAAAAGAAAAACTTGCTAAATGATTGACACATTTCAAAATTTCAAACAACTTATCATTTTCTTTCATTATTTCATTCTATTTTTCAAACTACCGCATGTCTTCTTGTTATTCCTTTTATGTTTTAAAACTATTTCACATGGCGGAAATGTCTTCGTTTTTATTAAAATCACTCATTCAACTCACATTATGATGCGAACAACTTTCCAGAAATTAAGCTAAATCCTTTTGCTGGAAACTAGACAATGCATAAAATTTCGAAATTCCTAAAAATTTTTTCAAAAATCTGGTGAACTAATTATCATCACATCACTCACTTCTTGGCTTCAGTCTAAAATTTGCAATGGCCCAAAGCTTCAGCGATCTGTAATGTCTCCTTTGCCATGCAAATTATCGCCTTTTCAATTACTGCCATGTGTAAATGGCTAAATAAGCTGTCATCACCAAGTTTGCCGGGTAATTTGATAATGGCTTTAAGCGACTTGACATGGTCCTCAAGTTATCCCATTTCTTCTTTAAGTTGGCGATTTTTCAGACTTATCTAATTAATTATCTCTGCTCAATGAGGTCCAACATCAGCTAGGCTTATCCCAGTATATATCATCTTACAACATTGTCTAGGGCATACCAGCCGATTTTACAAAAGTATAATGATGACTGAACACGCGGGAAAGCGTGTTACAACTAAATGATTATAAGGTAATAATTGAAAAACATGTGAAGTCGTAATTAAAATTTTAAATGGAAAACTTTGAATCTAAGTTGGAAAGTGGAGAATTGAATTTTGATGCGAAATTTGAAACCAAATTAAGAAACTGGTCCGTAAAACAATACATCTATAACCGTTAAAGTATTACAGATAATGTTAATTAAATCAAATTATGATTCACATAGTCTGTGAATTTGAAATAACCTTTTTGTTAATAAAATTCGAAATTGACTCGAACAATTGCATTATAAATTATATTAAAGCAACGATAATACTAGAAGGAATCGTGGATTAATATTCAGCGAATATTTAAGTGAATTATATTTTTGAAATTAATTTGTTCAATATTTACACATTCCAGTAATAATCGATAAGCGAGAATTATTGATTCTTTCCTGTCATCTATCAATAATGAAATTTCAATCAATAAGGAAGTAAATTTAGAAATAGTACAGACTTAAATACGAACAGTTATTGGATGAGAAAATTTCAGAGGGTGATTAATTTGCTCATTAACGTCAACAGAGCCCAAACTGTTATTGTTTGTTATCATTGCAATAACTCTTTTTCTTCGTCCATAAATAGAATAATTCGAAAGAAACTTAGGATTAACTACATCAGGACGGATAGAGAAAAGAGAGAGAGGGAGAGAAAGAGAAGGAAAGGAAGAGATTGGTCATTTCCTAATCATAATAATCTGATAGTACAATCGTGCTGATTATAGTGTTAATGTAATGATAGTAATTAAGGATGTCTAGAAGGTATCAGTTAAAATTATATTTCATAATAAGTATAACAGGACGTAAATATAGATGTTATTTTTCTTCTTCGATCAGAAATAGGATCATTAAGGGAGGTAAATAAAAGAACGGAGCAATGAAGGAGAGCATAAAGATTGATAAATATTAGGGGAAATATAATGCTGTTATAGATTGATAAAAGTGAAGAAGAAATGGAGGAAGCATTTGGTGTTACTTTTCCGTTCTATTGTGGCTAACTACCATTTCATGTCCCTTCACGCATTTATGGTTTTTTAGAGGAGTTGGTAACTTTCGATTTGCGAATTTTCAAATTATACCACTATTTACGTCCCTTTATAGTTGTCATGAAAATATTAATTGCCGTATCATATTAATTAAGACGCGACAAACACAGTTACTACCATTGCAATTTAATTATTATCACAACACTAATTGCTATCACAGCATTTGACAGTTACTATCATTAAACTATAATCAGTTATAATTGTGCTGCTATGATGGGGGAATGATCATGTAGAACGTTAGCTGATCAAATTTGTTCAGTTTTGTTTTTTTTTTCTCAGGTATTCAATCAAGTATTTAAACAAAATCAATTTTGAGAAATGGGGACAAAAAAAAATGGTGACAATAAATATGAAGGTTTCGAATCGAGGCATCAACAACAGCTGTTAGCAGCCGGTGTACCGAAGCATTTCTGGCGACGCTTACATGAAAAACTTGTCAACGAAATATTTGATGCGGGTGACTTCTTCCAAATTTTGGAAGAAATTAGCGAAGATGGCAAACATCATTACACAGTTATAGCACTGCAACAATTGAGAGTGGACGATCCCAACTGGTAAATGAGATTTAATCACATCTTGAACCATTTAGAGAGTTCAGTAACGAATAATTTCATACAAATGCTTTGCTTTTATTCTTTCTATAATGTTATCAGTTATTAAATGATGAGGTAAATTAATTGCACAATGAAAGTTATTTCTGCTTCAGATTCATCGTTAATTCAAAAATTCTAAGACAGAATTTTTATTCTTAAATTTGATATATTTATATTTCAGTTTCTGCTTTTTTCAGCATTTTTCTCATAGATCATGCATGGACTTTTCGACCACAAATTGTACGAAAACAATTGCATGAAATTCCTGGTCTTTTGGATCGGATTTGTAATGTTTTCAATATTGAAGTATGATGTCTTGCTTTTCATATCACTTAATAAGTCACTGGTAGTCTGAAATCAGGCAGAGGATTAAAATTCATCATCGGCCTTATCGAATATGATGAAAAAATCGTGTGCGGCTCAGATGCTTACCAGCTGCACCAAAAATCCAAGAACTTCCAAGATTCCTAAAAATTACCAGGTTTTGAAATCAAAAATATTAGTTTGCTAATGTACATTGAATTACTTTGTTGTATACGTAGGGCTATTTTGGAATAGGACGCCACAATTTGCATGTAACATGATCGGTAGAGCCGATTACTGCTTCACAGAAGTATAATTTGTTTGAGGGCTAAAGTCCCTTTTACAGTTCACTGTATTACTAGTACACTGAAAGTTCTTTTGATATCCAGTAAAAAGAGGGTATTTGGTGAACTAGCCACCATTGGAATCTTATATTTCATGTAAAGTGATGTATAATACACTGGGTTTAGCATCCTTTGTTTCTTCAAGTTATTCATTTGAGGAACAAGAAAGAAGTGCAGCAGAAAGTCATTCGGATTACGGTGGTAGTGGTGACGAAGCACAAATCCCAAGTGGATTGGAGTGGCAACCTGCTAGTAATCAGGAAGAAGGTATGGTAAAACCGATGAGTCATAGTGACAGTTTTAAAAAGCATACTGGTGGTAAATGTGATGGTGATGCCGGATCAGATGGCGCTAGACCTAATGATAGTGCTGGACCAAGTAATTATGAAGGTGAACCTTTTCATTTGCAGTTTTTGTAGGTATCAAGTGATATTCATGGGTTTTAATCCTAAGCGACATATCGATTCCACTGAGAAAAGGCTTATTGATTCAGTTTCTGGTCATAAATGGTGACAGGACAAAACAAATATGAACCGTTATGCGAATAGTTCTGACAAGGATTTAGCCTGCGCATCAAATTTTCTTGTGTAAAACTACTGCTATCTTTCTTTCCAGAACGTCGTAGTAGTCTTCCGGAAAGTATAACAGGTACCCCAATGTCGGGAAGTCTTACTACCGTCTCGGAGGAAGAACATCGAATAAATGAAGTTTTACATCATATGTGGCGCTATATCCACACCTATACAATGCGTTTTTTAGAAAAGGTATTCAAGATATTCAACAGTTTGCATCGTTTCAAATTCCATTTCTATCTGAGTTGCTTAGCTCTGATTTTCTTAGCAAATCTATGATTCTTGTTTCTGATGAACCTTACTAAAATTTGTTTAGATTAAAGACTTAACCCTTTTCTTCAGGAACCGGATGAGTGCGACATGCCGTTGTGGTATATGCCTGATGAGTTTGGTGTTCGTATTGGTCACAGCCACATGCCTAATTGTCGAATGGTACCTATCTTTCATATGCCAGAAAATATAGCTTACAATTTGTTATTTCCTATTCAGAATGTGGAAGTTGAAGGTAATTTATTAATTTTTGGTTAAAGAATGTGTTATTCACTATATTTTGTTAAAGTTCATCGACAGAAATGAAGCATCGATGTTGCAGGAACCATTACTCGTGATTATGTAGACACAATGATTACAAGAACTCATCCGGAATGGCGTCATATTTTAATGCATCCGTGGATTCCTGTAGATTTAACAGGCGCAAGGCTTGAACATATCGTTGCTCCAGATTCGCATTTCACAGTAAAGCCGTTTCATATTTTCGAAAAAAATACGTATATGGTATCTGGTTGAATGCAGAAAAAACTTATATGACATGATTGTGTTGACACATGCTTTCACAAACAGGATTTCAGTGGAATAGTTTACGTTATTCTCAATATATTTTAGCGTTGCCGTGTTCCTGACATTTTTCCATTAAATGCTTCGACTGTTGTTCCTGGCATTGATTTATCATTGAAGAAGATATATGTATTTGGCGATGACTTGCAACTTTTTTCAAATCTGAAAACAGTTGAAATTGTAAAGGTTGATTGCATCGAGGATGCTAATGTCATTTGGATGCGGAAGCATTTCAGTGATTACAAGTAATTTGCTTTCAAATTTTCTGTTAACAGTTCCAATGTTTTCGTTTAAGTTATGTTCTGATTTGTCACTTGTTCTATTTCGAATACTTTTAGATACTAATCCTTACTACAATTTTGGTTTTGGAGGTCAATCTAGGTGTAATGGGAAGATTTCATGACCGTAGAAATAATGCGTCAGTGAGGATAAGAACTACCGTCAAAAAACTGTATAACCGAATTGTAGTTCGTACTCCAGAAATAAATCAAAGTTTGGACTTTTTCGAAATCAGTTCCTAGGAGCAGAAACTTTGATTTCAGAGACTTGTTTGAGAAAAATCCGAAAGCTTTGGTGAATCAATTCCCTTACGATAGTGTGTTAACAGTGAAAGATCTGTTAACAGCGACAATACAATCAGTATATCGTGACAGTGTGATAGATTCAAAATTGATGCATTGGCAACCGTTGTGGTTCGAAACGACTTTCAATCTTGAAACCGAATTGCCACAGTTTGTAGCTTATTATCAACAGCGAGAACTTAAGTGCGATTTCCTTTTCCAGTTTTCTTTTTTTTTTTCATGTACCCTATGCAAATGAAAGATCTTGACCAATGCTGCAACATAATTTTTGTTTAAAAGTTTCGGACTACCCGAAGGACAGTTTTTTTTCGTGACATTCTGACAAACTAGTATCAATTTCAAAACTTAGCGCTATTCCTTTTTTACAAATACTGAAGGTCTAAAAAGAAGATAAAAAGAAGACTAGAAGCAGGCTGTCGTAATGCTTCATCTTAATAGAAATATGGTTATGTCTTCAAGCAGTCTAAGGACGTAGGTTACATTTCACAATTTATCATAATAGTAATTTATGTAGGAATATGGATAACACCTGGATAGTAAAACCATGGAATCTTGCACGAGGTCTGGATATACATGTGACTGACAATTTATCTTATATTATTCGCCTTATCGAAAGTGGGCCTAAGGTACATTTAAAGTAATAAATCGAACATAATGGTTTTATAGTTCAGTAGTAATTACAAATCGTAGTTACAGATATGTAACCAACTGATATATGAAGTGATTTCCTGATTTTTTAAGATTGCGTGCAAATATATTCATCGACCTGTCCTCGTTCGAAGACCTGACAACGGTAATATGGTGAAATTTGACTTGCGTTATATCATATTTTTGCGTTGCTTACGCCCACTAAAGCTGTTTTTGTACAAAAATTTTTGGGTACGATTTGCAATCAAGTAGGTTTTTCGGAATTGAATATTTGCTTAAAAATTATTTCTTTCTTTAGGATTTGACGAATGTATCTAATCAAGGTATAGGACTAAGAACTGTTAAGCATTCTCGTGGTTGCTTAGCCTTAAGAATGGTGTGCGTTCTTCGAGAGCCTCGAACAAGAAATTACTTTAAGTTGCAGAGCGGGGGCTAAGAAGTCCAAACAAGCGATACGTAATCAACTGGCGGTTTAAGCAGAGTAGTTATTTAGCTGCCATTTTGAGCATTCTTCAGGAATCCATGCGCTTTCGTGCTATATCTAAATATTCTTTGCGGTGAAAATAATGAGGCGTGTTATCATGAATTGTGTATATCATTTCAGTTTCTTCACAGTGATTTTTTCCTACTTGACGCACTTTAAATGATTTTCAGTGACTTTTCGCTTTCACAGTTGGATGACCGTGACACTCATTTTACAGTTTTCAATTATTCGGAGGATGATAAAGTTTTAAACGTAATTTGTTTTTGTTGTTCTTTACAGTCTCTTTATTCTAAAATTCCCATCTTTCTATCGAATGGAAACATTTACTGATTTGATTGCGATATAGATCCTTTTCATTGTGACTAGTTTTCTTGTTTTTCAATCTATCATAACATAGTGAATTGATTTTTGCATGCAAATTCATGTTTTCCATTTCATCTAAGATGGATTGCAAAGATTTTATCAACCAATGGGAGAAATTGTATGCTGTAAAATGGAGCGAAATACAAGGAAAAATCAATGAAGTGATCAAAGATGTGATTAAAACTGTATCGAAGTATAGTTATTCAGCAATATTTCTCAAATTCTGACAACCCAAAATAGAGGAAAAAATGAGAGAGTGGTACACGAGGAATATTTCTGCCTTTTACAGCTATTAGTATTTTTGAATCGATTATTCATAACACAAATTTTTTTTTTTCAGAGAAAAGCCTCCTCGTGGGATTGTCCCAAATGCACAGTCTCGAGCAATGTATGGAATGGATGTAATGTTGAAATGGGACTCTGATGGTTTGTTTTCTTCTTTACTAATTTTGGAAAAACACTTATGTAGCAAAGCATTAAAATATCATAATTTCGGGAACTTCGACTTTCTTTAAAGTCCCTTTTCTAAATTTTGGGAAGTTTGGTATTTTTCGATTTACAATACTTTTTTTCCTTGAAACTGGGCAGTTTTTAGTTCATTTATGTCTGCTCTTGGTTTTGACAAGCTTGCTACAGAAAATTAAAATAATTGGGACCAGAATTACCTTCTTAAATCTTTTTTTCTTTTTATAAGACTCATCGTTGTTTGATTTGACGTTCTGCTGATTATGTTAGTAATTTGGTTCTTGACATGATTAACTGGTTCCAGTTAACGTTTTCATATTTATACGCAGTCTTGCTAAAATCATGCATTTTATATTTCCAGATCTTGCTACACGCAAAATTTGTGTTTCGTTTATCGAAGGGAATTTCATGCCCGATTGCGACCGTGCTTGCACATTCGATGCGGATTTTGCAGATACAGCTTTTAATGCTCTTTTTACGGATAAAGACATCCCTGATATGTTGATGGAGCTGGTTTAATTTCTATTGCTATATACTTCTGAGTTGTCCAGTTTGCTTAACCTGGTGTCTATGTTGCACTTCTTTCTTTAAATCTATTATTAACTTGGGAAGAGCTCGATGAAGGGGCTGCATATTTCTTCTTAATCGGGACAGTTAATCACTTCTCATGTCGGAAGTTTTCGAAATATTTCATGTTTTGGTTCTCGTTTCAGACCAGAAAAACCAGTTCTGTCTCGAGTTCCGGTTAGTTTGGCAGATATTATACATTTTATTTATTTCGTTTCAGGCTTATAATATCCGTTTGTGTTATATAATTATTTGCTAACTTTAATCGTTCCTATCAAAATTCCTGCAAGATGTATATCGTCCTTGTGAGTCATTCCTCGAAGCATTATTTCCCAGATTCTTGAGTATTATTTCTATTTATATAATCAACTGTAAAAAACTTATTATAAGGCATAAATGCATCATTTTATTTATAAATTGTTTGACAGTCTTCATTGGATCTTGTACGAGAAACTCTTCAAAATCATGGATTTTCGATTTTTAATGTTAGAGGTAAATGAGACATTGTTAATTTTTACGATTTATGTGACTTATGCAGATTTCATTTCCTTGCCGTCAACTCCTGTTTTGAGTATTATAACTATTGCTGTGAATACCAAAAAAAGGAAATCAAATGACGTTGCGCCATACATTATGGTACACCAAATGTGAAATTCGCAGACTGCCATTATCCCAAGAACTATCAACATCACTGATGACAATGGATGAATAGTTACAATAAAATATTAGGAAAATGTTTCCTTTTAATAGATTATAATGGTAATTTAATATCATTATCACTGGTACACATCAGAAGATATGCTATGCGAAAGAGATAATCATATTGGCTGATTAACTTGTAGCTTTATCATGCTATGTTGTATTATATAAAAGAAATGAAGTATTTCCTCACTTCAAAAAGGTCGAATTTTATAGCATCCGTACAACTCAGTCACAGTTATGCAGTGCTACGAAAGAACTAATAGTAGATGTTTCATCGTTTGAATTTCGACAAATCGTTTCAGTAAATAAAACCAATGAGAAGTGTACTCATTCATTGAGTAATCTAATGTGAGATGATACCAGACAGTATCGATTCCATTTAATTTTTTTCCTTTAAATTAAGGAATTTCAACATTTTTTCGAGATACATGACAATGGATTTACTACTAAAACACCTTCTATTCATAGTTTTACATAAAGATAATTCATGAATTTAAGCTCTGAAATATAGTGAAGGAATAACAGATCGTTACAGTTTACCATTATTGCAATTTCTTTTTCTTTTTATAAATACCATTTTATGTTTTACAGATTGGCACCTTTCAGCCAGGATGTGAATGATAATATAATGCCAAAGCTGGATTTTTTCCCAACCATAACTTAGTATATATTTCCAATCATTTTATCATCAATTAATTGTTTTGGAGGAAGCTATCAACAGAGTTTAAATTTTCAAGGATTACATCGCACAAACTAGCACATGGTTTGGCTTTATTTTAACTTCCTAGTATGTATGCATCATGACCGCGGAACAACAAAGTCTAGGATTTATTTAATCTTCTCTTAACTTCCTAGTATACATCATGACCTCGGAACAAGAAAGGCTAGGATAACAAGTAATGGACGACAAAGAAAACTTTTATCATATCATTTTCCAACAAGTATAATCATGTTTGCATATTTTCTCGTTCAAACATTTCTGTGTATATTTTGATTACAAGGAAATAAATCTTCAACAAATTATTCCCATTCTGCTAGCTTGTAATTACTCTCTCTCTTTCTCCCTCCTACTTTCTTTTTGGATAATTATTCCTAAACTATTTGTCATAAGTCATCTTCTAAATTTTATCATCATAGTTAAATTTCTGAATGTTTCATAAGCGCTGAAGGGTTTTTCCATTTTTCTCACTTTTTATTTTTCATTTCATAAACGAAACATCTTTTATTAACTGATATTCCGTAATACGGTTCGTTAATTAATATTCATTAATTAATATCTCAATACATTTATCTCTTGATTTTTTTCCTCTTAATTTGTGATCACTGAGTGCGACAGGTGGGATTAGTTTGTTTCATTAATCAAACATTAAAGTATTGCCATGCAAAAATTACTAAAATGCAAATATTTTCATGCAATATCCACTTGAAATATTTCTTTAGAGAATTTGAACATTGAGCATAAACATATTGTGCTGAAAATTGGCATCGTTGAAAAGATTGCATGGTGTATGTATAAAACAAATTAGGTGGAAACCTGAAATTAATCCAGGTCATACAGTAAACATTCCATCTACCCTTCTTCTCTTCCTCCCTCTCTCCCCCTTTCTCTCTCCCTCTCTCTCTCTCTTCCTCTTTCTCTCCACTATTTCATCACAGCAAACATATCTAAATTATCATTTAAGCAATGAAAAAGAAAAATGAATAAAATTTTTTTCACTGTATTTCTTTCAAAACCTTTTAATATACATTATTTTAACTGAAACTATTAGCATTTGTAAATTTTAGGGAAAAATTTGAAAGATTTTGAAAAAAAATTTCAATTTGTAAAGATGATTCAAATGTTATTTTTATAGAAATTTAAACGTCCTGACCCGTTTTGTGAAACTTTAGTTTAGTTACTGGAAAAGGTACACATACAGATAGATAGATCGATAGATAGATGAATAGATAGACAGATAGATAGATAAATAGATAGACATGTTGTACATGTATCGCAATCATCACTGGTTGGTTGGTTCATTGGTAATGTTTAATGTTTTTAGACTTTCTCCGAAGGAAGAAGGCAAGTGACTGGGGTGACTTCTATTCATTTATTCTTCCTTTCTTCTTTCCTTCCTTTCATTCATTCATTCATTCATTCATTCATTCATTCATTCACCGATTCATTCACTCACTTATTCATTCATTCGTTCATCCCAGATTCCCTACATAACCCGATCGGTTGGTGGTTTATAGTGATCGCATTCTTCGATGATCGGTTGTTGGTGTCACAGGGATCGTTGCTCCTCCAATGTGCTTCCTATTTTAGTCTTCAACTATCGTAACGTTTCTACACCCTAATGAATCTGAGTTTTATGCTCAAAATTTTTTAATCTTTTTGTTTTGTTTTGCTGAAATTGAGCGAACGAAACTGTTATCTGATTATTACAACCGGTGCTACCAGATCATCAATATATCATGGCCAATCATGGGCCAAGTTATGGCCTTAGCCGAGAACTGGAAAGGAAAGTAAGCTATTTTTCTTCTAAGTATATTTTAGACACAAATATGCGGAAAAAAAATTCCATGAATGAAAAAATGTTTTCTGGTTATTGTCAGAAAATATTTCAAAATTTTTCCCATGAAATTCTTAACAAAAGAATCTAATTATCAAATATTCCATAAGAGATGAATGCATTCATGCCAATACCGTATACATCTTTCTCTGTCTTCTTGGATATGTTATATCAAAATGTTCAAATTTATAAAATCCAAAATTAATTCGGATTTGATGCATTACTTACTCACTGTGGTTACTGTTATTTTGATTTCCGTTGCTAGTGCGGTAGAAATTTCTCGGTAACAAATTTCTTTTATATTCAAGATATCTCAATATTACACATCAGCTTTCCACGTTATTTCAAATCGTACGTTACGCTTGCCAATTTAGTTTACCTAATTAGGATTGACATTTAATATCAAAAAAGTTTTGCAACAAGAAGAGCTTTTTGAACATGATATATTCACTAGTTTATCACTGCAATAACATTTTAAACCATATCCTTTCAGCAAAGTCATTTGAGGGTTGACCTTTGACCAGCTGATTACAATAATGCTAACACTGATATGCTACTCGATCATACTGTTTACTATCATCTGCCATTATTTTTTTATCTCCCTTCCATTTATTATAATCATTCTTGAATTATCCCGAATTCATCGGTATAAGGTTTGATTTAGCTTTAAATCTGTCCTGAATTCATCCCTATATATTTTAATTTATCCTTAAATTCACCTCAAACGAAGTGATGGATTTATCCATTGAATGAGAACAGTTAAACCAGCTATAATTTATTTACAGAAACTTTCTTTTAACATAAATTCTATGAGATTTCAAGAGCAATTTACATGGCTTTATGGCTTATGAAATATTTAAGCCATAAAATCAAAAAGTTGACAATTCGCACTTGAAGTTTGATAATATTTTGATGATATTGGCATCCCTGCTCTTTGGCCCTTTAAATTCCTTCTTGATTTGCAGGAGAATTTTTTGTGATATATGCAAATATTTGAATATCTCTTAATATTTGCTCATGCAAATCATTATTTATTGATTATTTTATAAATTTTGTAAATGAAATTGAACTCATATGTTTATTGTAAATTATCATTTGTCTATAGGAAATCATTCAGTTGTTATCATCCAATTGATGCAATGTTCCCATTAAGTAAATTTCCAATCAAAAACTAAATTAACATTTATCTATATAAGAGATGATCAACTGATTTAAAACACTCGTGATGTAAATTTCCAAGCCAAAAAATTAATCTGAAATATGGTAATTTACTAGTCAGAAAACTAGAATTAACCTGGATTGGGCGGAAAAAATTTTTCTTCTGACCGACACGCTGTGGTTAATAAAAGAAATATAAATACATCAGTTTCGAAATAATTACAATTGATTTGGCAGGCTAAGAATAGGTGACCCTTTGTAGTGTGTCTCGCCGCTCACCTTAAATCTCTCGTCAAGGTTAATTTTACCACTTCTTCAACCGATCCATCCTCATTTCTCAACTATGTTGCTCAATTTACTGTCACATTTTCAGCAATAATACATTGTACAAATTTCTTCAAATCACCAAATACACACAAAATTTGACAAAGAGGGTAAAGAAATGAAGAAAGGGAAGAAAGAGAAAGGTCAAAACTATTAGCCTGAAAGTTTAAATGAACAAATTGTAATTTTAATTTAGTTTTACCTTTAAAAGTTAAAGGTCTGAAGGAAGAAGAAAAAAAACATAGGACTGATATGAAAAGATAACTTTATCAATATAACAAACATGTTATGTTTTTTAGGAGGGAGTAAATATGGGAACTGGTAACAGAAAGTATGTAATACTTAAAGAATGAATTCACCTCCCAATCAATTTGTAAACATTTCTCATTTTTCAACATGAAAGAAAGGAAAATTAAATATTTCTTTGGAGATTATTTTTCTTTTTCATTGTAAAAGGAAGTTAAGTTTAGTTCTATTTCTTTCTTCCCTCTCCCGGTCCACCATCTCTGTTGCCTTTTTGTAAGTAATTCATGGAAATGAAAAACTCGAAGTAATTTTGAATCCATTCTTAACCACCTAATATTACTTGTTTACAAATACTCTCATATTAAAATCAATGAGGTATAGTTTACAGTTGGAAATGATAAACCTTTTTATTTCAGCAATTTATGATTTGATGCTAATTTATTTCATTTTCATATTTAAATGGAAAGCAAAAAAAAAATGCTATAGCACATAGCATATAATGACAACAAATATCGTTAAAAAAAGAGAGAAAAAAAGGGAGGAAAAGGAAAACCATGAATGGAAAATAATATTCAGATTATTATAAATCAATTTATAAAAAAAAATGTAATTTGAAAGTGAAGTATCGAGCAAAGAAAGAGAGAGAGAGAGGGAGAGAGAAGAGAGAG